GAGCAGGTCCTGCCCTTGATTTGTCCAACTTCATTGGTTCTCCTAGTAGTAATGCTCTGCTTTCACCTCAAGCTGCTTGCGGTTTGAAGGTTCCATCCACGTCTCTGGATGATTGGGCCACCCTATGTGCTATAGTGTTTTCCAAGTTGTTTCAAACCATGTTTAATTTGCTTTCCTTATTGATTGTCTATCTTGCAAATCGTTCTGCTATTGTGTAGCCCGAGTCGGAGATTCACCATACTTTTCGGAGTCTCTCACTACAGTTTCTTAGGAGGATGATGTGGAGAGCAGCATCATCAAACTCCGCCTTGTATTCCAATAGTTGGCATTCGTTCCAGTATACCAAAAAGGTCTGTTTTCCTTTTGGGAGTTTTTCCAGCTTTTGTCTTGCTGTCTTCTTAGCGTTAGGATTCCCAAATTGTTCAAAGAGTGTCGCCTTGAATTCCTCGTATGTGACCCATGCCCTCTGCTTCCTTCCATCTTGGAAGGGTATGATCTATTGTCTCACGAGTCTGCTTAGTATAAATTCCACATAGGGAATCTTGATCTCATCATGGTGTTCTCTATATCCTTTAACCACAAAATACCCTTCGCATTGTGCTAGGAATATTTGTAGCTTATCTTCGGCTTCTTCGTACATGTCAGGTTTTTTTACTTTCAGTCGCTGTATATTTCCTTATCCTGTGTTTCGTGTTGCTGCTAGAAATGCCTGAAACTGATTCTCAGTCATTCCAAGTATGCTAGTGCCTGGTGCCGGAGAGGCTGGGACTAGTGGTACAGGTACCCCTGATCCTGACATTCTTTCAGATCGTGGGGTTCCTGCAGGAGAGCTATCGACTGGTGATTCTTTCTCTGAGGTTACTGGGCTTGCTGCTTTTGAGGACTCTGCTGATATGTGATCTAGGACGTCGCTAAATCCCCCTAAGTTAAGGTTTTGATCATCGATGTCGATATCTCCTTCCCTATCTGGGTTGAAGGATGCCATCTTGTATGGTTTGGCGTCGCACTATGTGACACTTTGTAATGTAACGATTCCTCCTCGGATGGTTAGTTCTTGGCAACGGGGAACGAGACTTCTCTTCTTTTTCGTTTTCTTTCTTCATCTTACGATAGCACTAGGCCTCTACCTATGTTACCGATAGTACAATACCTGTGTCTTCTATTGGGAAAATCTATCGTAAGCTTTCTCAAACTCTTCTCTGTCAAGAGCTTTCCCTCTGCATAATAATAAATATTGCAATAGAGATAAAGGTCGTAAAGATGTTTTATATTCGTTAAAGTAATAAGTAGAAAAAGCGTAAAGAACCTATCCTCCTTGGCTATATCGACCTACTTATATAGTGTTCTTCCTGCTCATAGTCACGTGACCCAAAGTGGTCACAAGCGCGAAACCAAATCATAACAAACTAGTGATATGACCAAAGTGGTCACATGCTCAAAACCCATGACCTCATAGTGAGGTCATGTGCTAAAACTCATAAACTAATCATAACACAATAAACAAGTCATATAACTCGAACAAGTCATATGCGCAAGACCCATGACCTCATAATGAGGTCATGTGCTAAACATAAACCATATGCGCAAGGCATACCCGCAAGGCACACTTGCAAGGGAAACTCGTCAGGCACATATGCTATGACTCATAATCGAGTCATGTGCGAAATATAATAAATCATAACATAATAAGTCATATGACCCAAGTGAGTCATATGTGTAAAACAATAATATACCTATGACTCATAATCATAAGTCATGTGAAAACCTTTTCCATGCCAAGCCACATTTGTGACAGCTAGAGAGTATTGGGAACAAGTGCAAAAGTAACTTGAAGAGAGAGGATATTACATTGGTTGGGATGCAGTGAAACTGAAGAAGAGGTTGATAGATTTAATAAAGTTTAAAAAAAATCCGGTATGGAAAGAAATGGAGGGAGGATGTCAAATTACCAATAACAAGTTTCAGCTGAATGAAAGTGATTTGATCAGATTGGCAGCACCATTAGAAAAGGTAACGGGATTGAAGGAGGATGCGAGAAAGGAAAAAAAGGAGAAAATTGCAACAAAAAGAAAGGCTAAGGAGGAGGAGTGAGATCAAGGACTTGCTATACGACTATTGGCAATGCAAGGAACGATAAGATCTGAGCAGTTAAATTTGAACAATACTGAAAATGCATTGCTAGGTGCAGATCCTCAGCGAATCATCAGAAAATGTCGTCGATTACCAGAACATATTACTATATCTCCAAGAGCTGGTATTTTGAAAGAACGGGTACCAGAGAATTCTGGGACAATAGCTGCCATTCTACCAATTCAATAGTATATACGTACACTAGAGCCTGTATTGTAGATGCCACCGATTTCTCCTATTCATCAAGCTCATTGCTAAGTACCTGCCAATACATCCTCATTCTCCCAGAATCCTACCTGCTAAGTACTTCTGGTAGTAAAACTTTTATCGATGTTTTTAGAGCTAACTCAAGCTCAAGAAACAAACCGGGAAAA